ACACGCCTATTGATAATAAAAATTGCTTACGTGATAAGACTAAGTTTGTTAAAAATTTGGACTGAATACGCTTCTCAGAATACTTTATGATTGAGTGGATATAAGTTAAGAGGAAAATAAGATCTGTAAACAAAAGATAGTATGGATAAATTTTGTCAAAAACTGAAACACAGCCTTTTCTTAAAAATAAAATCATATTATAGTATTTTTTCATACTGGCAGCCGGAGATGGTAAAAATAAAAAAGTTACACGGTCTACCAATAAAACTTCTTTTTCATTTTTAAATTTTAAAACAGTAATTTACACAATTTGTGTAACAAAGTTCAACATTATGTACTATGGAAGTCAAACATTGTATAATTATCTAAATGTAGATTATATTTCATAATTGCTATACAATGGACAAAGTCCAAACAAATATTTTTAATAAAATCAACTAATATTTTTCATTTCATTATGATTCTTTTTTAATTGGATTGCCCTTTGGAACTTAAAGACAAACTTCTTATTTGCAATGCATAATACTATAAATTTATTGATTTATTCCTGATGGACTGATGTCCTAAAATGGATTGTAGAAAATCATTGTATGCTGAAATCAGAAAATCTTATACTAAGGATGGCAATGGGGAAGGCATATATCCAACAGTTGACTAACAAAGACACTTAAAATTAAAACAAATAAAATGATATGTTAGGTGTAAACTTTTTAATTTTATAGCTATACTAGCCGTCGACTGAGTGGAATTAAAAATAAACTTAATAAGTAGCCTATGTGTTCTTTCAGACTAAGTTCTACTATCTATGCCAATCGCTGCCAATTTAGGCGAGATCCATCCAACCATTCTAGATATACCTTCTAACAAACATCCATCCAAACACTTACAGTTAAAACATTAGCAAAATAGATAAAATACAGGAATTTAGATTTATGTTAAAATTCCAGGTTATAAAAAAATCATGAATATAGACTTAAAATTCATCTATAACAGTGCATTGCATAAAAATATGATCCTTTAATCGCTTTGATTAGCTGCACTCAAAATCATTCATTAGTGTAATAAAAACTCAATTTTGCATCAGCAAGTCACCTCATTTTTACACATCGGTGTTGTTGGCTTCTACATAGTTAATTATATCCCAAAAATCTTCCATGTGCATGTAAATTAATTGATAATTTTTTAACAAACTTAATAAAAACTCTTTATTAATTTAAAAGTAAAATACTGAAGAGTTTTTGATTCCACCATTGTATATCTTATTCTGCTTTTACACAAGATGTAAACCATAAATTACGTCCTATAAAATTTGTGTTAAATCATAAGCTTGTATACAAGGAATTTCAAAGATAGATTACATCAAATTCTTTCCTTTGATAAGTAAATAAGTTTATTTGAATTTTAGGTGAATATAGCACTGAATTAAATGAAATATTATATTTTCATATGATAACTTATTGTTTTTATTATAAACATGTGGAATCAACGTCAAAGAGAAAGTTATAGTGGAGATTTGGCACCTAATGAGCACAAGGAAAACACACATGAAATTAGTTTAGACATACAATTGATGGATACAGTATGAATTAAATATTATATGATGTTCCAATTTCTAACTTACCTCTTTTTCTGGGGTGCTGGTTTAGGAGTCATCTCTGATTTTATCATAATGTCACTATTATGAAACTTCGCGATATGAGCACAATCTTAGAACACTGCCAAGGAGAGTATCATATCGCTATTCACGATCTTTTTATTTTGATTTGTTTATGAAATGTTCACAAAATAGTTTCACTGATCACAATTTAGGTCATTTTATAATGCACTACACAAACAAAATACACTTTGTTGTCGTGAACTTGCACAGTGGTATTTAGTAGAAACTCGGGCTGGTAGACGGATTAACTTTTTAGTATTGCCATATCTTACTTTCAAAATTGGAATTGAAGTTGACCAAAGTTGACGAATCACCATGAATTTAATCTAGCGATAATAAGCTACCAAATAATTTATTTTCTAAATAAAAAATTAAATCAAATCAAACCTTAAAAAATTAATTAATACACTCGCAAAACCAAAAAAGTTTGTCAACTATGCTAGTGTCAGAATAATGATGATGTGTCAAACAGTTAAATTTTAATCAAATGGTATATTGTATATGCCAATAATAAAGATAATACGCAAAAATTACAGTTAGAGTAAAGAGTTTGGTATTTAGAAAACATACACCTGCGATTCTTAAATACTGTCTTAATTCTACTATACATTTCAAAAGTAGTTTTGGCTAAATAAAGATAAAGACTGGCAATACCAATCACAGCTTTATTTGTGTAGTACTTTTCTGAAAGAAATTAACAAGTTATATGGTATTTTAAATGGTAGCTAAGCATTAATCATGTTAATTTATAATCACAAAACATATTTGTAATTTACAACTTCCACAATAGCAAATATATTCTTTAATATCGTTTTTCTTGTTACGGTTGTGTAGCTAGCTCCATCTTCACTTCGTAAAGGACACTAAGGCGAGAAAAAAACACAATGTATAGATGTCCAAGAAAAATATAGATGTCACTGTGATTCAAATATCAAAGCTTTCTGATAAACATTTTCCCACCTAGGTATATTATGCTATATTTCTAAGCCAGTCCATGATTGTTAATATATGATGCAATTCTCAAACGTTCTAAGAAATTAAATAAAATCTTACAAATTGATCCGTCTTCGTGGCGCCGTTGTTTAAACGAATGATGTATGAACCAGCACAGATAAGTAATATTAATTGCTCACTGGAAGTACTAATTCAAGGAATCAATAAAATAACATATGCGTAGTTATACACACTTTAAGGAAATCCATACCAGAATTTAAATATTCACAGATGACTTAAATTCTGGATGTGTGCTAACAGTATGAATTCAGTATTATTAGTATAGTAAGTTGGATAGTAGTAGGTTATTATATGATTAGGTTTAATTTATGTGTTTTACTGTAATTATAATTTAGCCACTTATCAAAACTAAAATATGCACTCCTAAATTATACTCAGGGCAGGATCAATGACCCGATATTTATATCACAATACGCTTAAATAATTATGTTAATCAAGTTGGTGAAGTTGACAGTTGATAGCCATTTTAACAGTCAAATTAAATTTCATTTTACTAAATATTTATAGCCGTAGTGGTTGTCTAGACGTGCAAATAAAATATACTTTTGTTAGTTATGATATTAAAAGTATTTTCCATAAAAGGTAAACAAAGAGACAATTTTCTAGGTAAAATATTAGAATAATACACTGGATTACCTAAGCACAAACTTAACAAGGATTAGAAATCTAAAGTTTTAACTCATTTATTTAATAACAATAAACGTGTACTTCTTAACATCGCTTCTATAATATTCCTAATTCTAAACTGGCACATTAAAATTACTCAAGCGCCTGCTAAAAACACTAGCAATACTTTCTCCCATTGTTTTTGCCTGTATTTATTGTATGTATTCGGCCACAATGTATTAAATATTTTAATAACGTCCATTATCATAAATATGCATTTTACTTCTACATTACATTAAAGTAATCAAAGACAAATTTAATTGCAAAATTAAGATGCTAGAATTACAAAAAAATTTCGTACATCAAGTTTCAATTACCCAACGCTGATATATGACAAAAATATTTGGTCCGGTGAGAGCACACGGAATCCATATGCTGTCTCGTTATATGACATTCGTGTACAACATAAATCAGATTTGTAATCTTTAAGATAATCAAGAGACATCGGATAGTTGCAGCAAATGTTTTAATTAATCTTCCAAAACATGACGTTGAATTGATTTTAACTATTACTTTATCTTTAGTTACATCTTGAATACTTGAAGCCGTCGACGATTTATACTATGTTAACATATTTACGAATTAAAATAACCTCTTACAAGTGTCAGGAAATGTTATCGTGAAACAACATCACAAAAACATATTGTCATCTCATTTTTCTCTAGAAGAATGAAAAAGATGGCATGAAGTTTTGAAATGTACGGAATAGGTATAATATTATGTTTTTGACATACTAGATTCTCATATGAGATTCTTATTTATTTTTAAAGATATACAAACACACAATAAATAGTTTCAACAATCATAAATTCGTTTCATACCATTTATGGATTTACGAGGATTCTTAACGACCTAATAATTTTAGCACTTAAATTTCAAAACTTCTATTTATTTTGATTGAGGTTTGACAGATACTTGATAAACTTAGCTCGAAAATTTTTTAACAATGACTCATGACGTCATCGCAGTTTTTTGACATATTGATGTGGGCGGTCATGGTGAATTATTAAAACTGCCAATAAAATTGATTGACGCGATGTTTTAAAATTCGCTTAAATATCCATTAGGTATTTTAAGTATTTTTCAAACTATATCGCGTTTTTTATTGAAATTATAATAATTTTTTTGGTAGCAATTTAACGAGACGTAGGAGCTTTTTTAAGATCTTCCTAAACTAGTGCTACTCGATAAGGAAATGTAAGAAAAAAAAATAAAAGGGATTTTACTTGAGGTTTAAGGGAAATTATTTCATAAACATATAGATAAGATAAACAACTTTTACACTGACAGAATTATAGTTCATAGTCCCCCTAGTATTTGGCCGTGCAATTATTTATTTCGCTAATGCATTATCTTACATAAAAAGGATTTTTTTATTAAACAATCAAGCGGATACAGCAATTATAGGGTTGCCAATTTTAGATCTGACTAAAAAAACCTACGTCCAATCTTGATCTCAAGCGGACAATGAAAATAAAACCTTCATTTGTTTCCGATGCCCTAATTTTTAATAACAACAAGCCCTAAGGATTTTCTTTTAAAACTCGAAGTTCTGGTAACCCTAGCTGTAGTGGAAAATACGACCGCCAGAGGCCGTCACCGTGGCCACTGGAACAAGTTTTCGTTTCGACATTTTTGGCTCATTATTCCCTCAGTCCGAAAACATCTTTTGTCAGAGAAAGCGCGTCTGGTACACGAGTGGATGCTGCGTACCAAAATGATTGTGACTTTACGTATTGTAAAAATGTTTGGTGCAATTAATATTTAAATGTTGGTTTTATTTATGGCGTAAGAAAAAGCGTGAAATCTAAAAGTGATCAATAAGTGTCTTAAAACATTGATTTCTTAATTAAAATAAATGGTGAATATCAAAGTTAATGCAAGTTTATTTTTATACATTTTCAGGCACATTTATCGGCCCACCTGATGTTTTTTTCAGTTTTTACAGTCCCTAGCTAAAAATAAATGTTAATTGGAACAATAAGTTTTTATGCATTGTTGAAGCTGATTTATCGGTCAATCCTTTGGTATGTTTTTTTAAGTTTCGAATTTAGAATTATGAAAAAATAGAAAATCCGAGTCTGTTTAGTATTCGACGATACAAAGGAGCAGAAAACTTTTAAACAATAGGTTAGCCGATATATGTGTTCTAGAGTGTATATTTGGTTGACTGGATGGATTTACAAAAGTGTGCTAAAAAATTACTCGTGTATCAATTAGTTGTAAAATTCAGTTCTTTTTTATAGTCTAATGAAACGAGTATTAGGAATCATTAATTCATTAATAATAAACTCATAGAATTTATCATTAAATCTTAAAAATGAACTATATTTAAATAATTAGTTGAGTAATGGATGGGCCATAGAATGAGCGTCTGCCAGGCGCTTATATATTTTATACTAATTTTGACATCTGTCTACGCCTTTATAATCGGAATTGATGGTAAGTTACTGTATTTACTTTTTAACACAATATTAACAAAAGTAGAGTCTACAATAACTTTTTTTGAACGAATGTACTTCCTTGATCGGTGAAATACTACGACCACACTAAAGACGGACGTGAATCGGAAGCAGGACTGCAGTTTTTCGCACTTTCTTTCGTTCTTGGCCGTCACTGCACATCAGTGAACCTAGTATGAATATTTGTGACAAGCATAATCGTATCTAAGATAACTATAAGCGCATATCGCAAATATTCGTGCTAGGTCCACTGTCTTTAATAAGGTCGCAGTAGCTAAGTTATTTCAGACTACCACTGTTATTACTTGTAACATTATTGTTCGATTTATTAATAGGACCATTATTACATCAAGTAGCTTTAGAAGACGACAACACAACTTTACACTGTGATACAACTTCTGGAATAAGTGAAGACGAACTTTCTTTACTTGTATGGTATAAAGGAGATGATTCTATTTACAGGTAAAAATTAATAAGAGCAAAAATGTAGCTTATATTTTTTGTTATTTATATTTAATTGAATTTAGTTTCGTAAAAACGTTATTATTTGTTTTTTTAAAAATCAAGAATATAAAGTAAATGTTCTAAAATTAAACAAAACTAGTTAATAATTATAATAATGATAGATTTCATCCTGTTTAAATACTCATGTTATTATCAAAATATACCTGATGGCACTGGAAAAACCAGTTTCCATATGCAGTTTGATATGTGTTTTTTTTGCATAAATTAGATCCAATCGCCATTATCTGTTGTATGGAGTCGCGTTTTCATTTCAACTATAGCGCGATTATTACATTCAATTTTTTTTAATTAAAAATATTACCAGATTTTCGTTAATTGACTAATATTTCGTATACCATTCCAAGTAAGTTCTAGGCTTGTGATAGGATATGGGTAACGACAATAAACGAGATTCCAACTCGCGACCACGTGATCGGAAATTAACCTATTCTCCTTCTTCGTCGTTGCAGTCTTTTCAGACTGGTCGTGGTCACTAAATAACCTATTGGCTCTCTAAAAATACTTAATGAAACTGATATATAAACACGTCTAAACACTCACATATATACGTCCGGTGGCGGCACCGACTAGTTTCGAGCCCATCGGGGGCCCTTCATCAGGATGAGTGGCACTGGTATTATTTCGCGGACGCGGCCCGTCGAGCAGTGAGCGATGGGCCCCCGATGGGCTCGAAACTAGTCGGTGCCGCCACCGGACGTATATACGTGAGTGTTTAGCCGTGTTTATATATCAGTTTAGTATAATGTCTCACGAAAGTTTGAATAATTTAATACTTAATTACTATAAACATTAACGATATTAAATTAATGCTTTAGAATTTTAATACATATTGTTGAAATTGTTTTGTCAAATAATGTTAGTTGATTTTAGCTTATTGTCGAATTTTCTTTTAGTTACGACGCTCGAAGTAATAATGAATGGTCCAGTCAAACATTTAATACTAGCGGTAGATTAAGTATTAATATAAATAAACGTCCTACACCGCTGTATATTACATCTCTGAGAGCAGACGATGAGGCTCTGTATCATTGTAGGGTTGAATTTTTACTCACCCCTACAAGATATACTGGAGTCAATCTTACTGTTATAGGTATGGAGTTTTTAAAACATAATCTTTATAATATTAATCTTATTAAGATTATAAATGCAAATGTTTGGATGGATGTATGTTTGTTTGAAGGATATCGCGAAAATCTGACATAGATGTAGAACATAGTCTGGAAGAACACATTAAGTATTTTTTTTAATTCCCCGCGGACGGAGTAAGCGACAGCTTAGAAGTAAACTAGCTGTCGACTAACCACAACTAACCTACAATAACTTAAATAGTATATGTGTTCTTCCTCACTATGTTCTATGTCCATGCCAAATCTCATCGAGATCTGTTAAGCCATTTTGGAGATGGCTTAACTTCCATCCATTCATCTTAACATTATCATTTATAATATTAGTAAGATTGACATAATATTTGAACATATTAATTATGTGAACAATAACATTTTTTTTTGTATTTTAGTGTTACCTAGTAAGCCATTCTTTCTTGATGAGATGGGAAATAAAATAGAAGATAAAATAGGACCATTCTTTGTAGGAGATACTTTGGTGATTAATTGTCTTGTGATTGGAGGTGAGGTATCGTACACATGTTAAAAAAAAGTGCTATAAATGTCATATAATGTTTTATTAATCTTAATAATCCTTAAACTCAAAGTTAGGACGTCGTCCGCTAAAGACTTAAGAAATAATTGGTCGCAGTTTTTCTACAGCCTTCTTAACTCGAAATTCGACAACCCTAACAACAAAGAACAAAGACAAAACAAAGATTTAGTAGTTCCAATAGTTTTTTAAACATGTGTCAATGAAATTGAATTGAGGAAATTTTCCAGGCAGGCCTCCACCGCATATAAGTTGGTACAATGGAGAAGTTCTAGTGGATGCTACTGGCAGTGAAAGTGATATACCAAATGTGCGACAGAATGAATTGTACCTACCAATTACGAGGAATACGAACAGAATAACGTGTAAAGCCACGAACACTTTACTTTCTGCTCCCATTTCGTCGTATGTAGATATAGAGATATACCGTAAGCATAATTACTACCCCAAATATAGACTCTGTTTAGTTAAACATGGGTTTTAACCTTTAAAACGCCGATGAAGGATACTATGAACATTAAACTGTATAAGTATCACCAAAAATATGTACCACAAAACAAGTTTAGTTTTTTTTTATATCATAAGGTGGCAAACGAGCGAGCGGGCACCTGAAATCGCTGAAATAGCGAAGCGACCGCTGCCCGTAGACATACGCAATTGCATATGCGTTGCCTACATTTAATCGAGGGAAGAGAGGATGCACAGAAAGAAAATATTTTCCCTTCCTATGCATCCTCTCATCCGGAAAGCCCACTTCCACTTCCCATCCTTTCCTTATAAGAAAAAGGGTGGGAAGGGAAAGAGGACAAAATGAGGCCTCCGGGACGCACACTCATCAGACGAAACGCGGAATTGCTTCTACTTCACGCCTGTCTTCTGTGAGGTCGTGGATGTTGAAGCGGGCTCTACCACTGTTAAATAGTCCAATAAGTGTTTCATTATTCATCGAGAATTCATTGCGAAAGACTAGGTACGCACTATAATATTTTCAATAGCAATAAAAAGTTGTAAAAAGTTGTTATAAAAAGGTTTTCTCATAGTAACTTAACTTTATAGCTATTCTTTTTTTAATAATAAATATTTGTACTGATTTTTGTTATAGTGTCTGCTAGTAATGTCTCGATACACTGGCTTCAGGACATTGAAAGTAATACACTTAAAGCGGGAAATAATTATGTTGTAAAATGTATAGCATATGAAGTGAACCCGTCGCCTGATATAGCTTGGTGGTTGAATCGTAAACATCTAACTCAGTACAGTAATCAGGTATTTATGTCGCTTTTTAGTTTTTTTTTTAAGTATCTATTTAAAGAATTTTACTTTTATAAGGCTGTAATTATAGAATTACTAGCTGTCGCCCGCGACTCCGTCCGCGCGGGATTAAAAATAGATGTTGGCCGATTCTCAGACCTACTCAATATGCTTACAAAATTTCATGAGAATCGGTCAAGCCGTTTCGGAGGAGTATGGGAACGAAAATTGCGACACGAGAATTTTATATATAAGATTAAAAACAGACGTGTTTGCATCCAAAATTTAAACACTTAAAAGTGTCAAAATAAATCCATAGATAATAAATGATTGTCAGCCAGTGATATGTTTAAATATAATATAATTTCTCGTTTCTATTGAATTCGACTTATGCAGTGAATAACATGAATGGACATGTGCTTTTGCATAAGTATTAAGTATCTTTATATATATAATTCTTCTGTGAGTGTGTATGTCACTGAACTTCCCTCAAACGACTGGACCGATTTTGATGAAATTTTTTGTGTGTGTTCAAGGGGATCTGGGAATGGTTTAGATTCACAATTTTTATCAAATACTCACTTCATATTAATTTATTCAAATTAAAGACGTGTAGACAGGACAACATCTGTCGGGTCCGCTAGTTTAGTTATAATATTCTACTAACATTAATGTAAGTTTCCACTGACGAAACACCTATTCACATCACATATGCTATCTCTGTTCTCATAAAGAAAATAAAAGAACTTTTAATTTTATCTCTTAATATCCCGTAGACTTGGAACCACATGACCAAGACAGCAGAGTCACACCTTCAGTTAACACCTACAATAAAAGACGATAGAGCGACATTGGCGTGTGTTACCACAAATCCTGCCATACCACCGGGAAAGAATTCAAAAGCTGATGTTATAACATTAAATGTCACATGTTAGTACGTATTTTTAATTATTAAAATATTTTTTTTTATAAGACTGGCCGAAAAAGAAAGAAAGAGTTCACATATGTTTTCTGAGTTTCATACATATTACCTGTCACCTTTTATGTCCTAAACATGATTCGATTTTAAAGAATATGATGTCATTTGAGTGTTAATAAGGTATTGTTAGACAATAATAGTAGTTAGGCCTGAGTTTAATGATCTTTTAGTCTACCATCAACCTGCCCTTATCCCTACGATGAGTCGGCTAAAAATGTAGTACGCCTAAACATATCTTCTTCCTAGGCATATCCTGTTTCACACAATCCATCCATACTACATTCATAACTCAGGCCGAGTTTAATGAACTTTTTATTAAAAATAATTTGGTTATCTTACCTGATAGTATAGGAGGTAGCAACGTTTTCGAGAAAGAATTTCAGGTCAGCTGATTTTGTGATATGTCGTCCTATTTGCTCTTTCGGATAGAGTCTAGGCAGTGTGGCAGTCGATAGTGGTTGCGTTCACTACTGCGCATCCACCTTGTTCACGTACTTATCCTGGATTTTAAAATCATATTAAGACGCGTAATTTTTAAATTTATATATAAGAGTTTTAGCAATATCTTGTTAGCAACGAAATTATTAACATTTGTTTAATTCTTATGATAATAAAAATGTTCCGAAACATAATATTTTATCTTCCAGATGTTCCAATAGTGGAAGTATTAACAGTAGAAACCAGTAAATTAAATGGTGTCATAGAGAATGATACATTTCGATTAATTTGTGAAGTCGACGCGAATCCACGCGCTGATAGATTTATGTGGTATTATAATGTAAGTGCTGACATAATGTGATTTATTTTTATTTAATTATAACAATTCGTTGATAAAAATCTTTGTTTTTTAAGAATACGAATATCCATGAAAACGTTGGTTGGCAAGATTATATATTTGGAAATATATTAATATTTAAAAAAACTTTTAGAAGACACACTGGACAATATTCTTGTTCAGCCAAAAACAGTATGGGGGAAGGCAAAGCTGAAGGAGTAGACATTACTGTATTTTGTAAGTCGCTATTCTATTAGTATATATACAAAAGAAAGGCTAGAAAAGCTGCCACCAGCACATAGACGTCCTCATTCGAGGTTTTCAAAGTTACTCTATGTTTGAACAACCAAGTCAAACAACCCGCACTGGGCCAGCGAGGTTGACTATGGCTTAGTCACCTCCAACTTAGGGTAGGCCCCGAGCTCCTCAGTAGGAACGTATAGTGAGCTGATGGTAAACCCTATGTTATCTCTATGTCTCTATGAGTCAAAATTTACAGAGGCTGCGTACAGATGTGTGGAAGACCTTTTGAATATTGATGTTTAGTTACGCTTTGATATATTCTTGCACTGTTTATCTATGTGCTATATTTTTTTAAATTTTTTTATTTATCATTGTTATGTGTTATTTACTGTTATTATAAAATATGTTATCGTGTAAACTGTTATGTAAAGTGTGTATAGTGTCAAATTGGTTGTATACTGTAAGGATGCTATGCAGTTTTTAAATAAATAAATGTTTGGAGTGACGCGCCAACTTTATTACTGAATTTTATAATTTCCAGATCCACCAGAATGTACTAACAATGGAGTATCACTAATTAATGAAATAATTACCTGTCAAGTAAGATCTGTTCCGGATCCCAATTCCTTTACGTGGTACATACGCACAGATTCACAGTTCGAAAACCTTACAACACAATCTCCTTCAATATCACTTAATATAATAACGATTTCATTAACGAAAACAGCTAATATTACGTGTGAAGCGAACAATGGTGTTGCAAAACAACAAAACCTATGTACTAAGGTTATAAGTTTTAAACATTTAAGACCGCAAGCACCACTGCAATGTGATCTATCGTATGAAAGAAATCAGTTCCAGATACATTGTATTCCAGGTAATAAATTATTCGCGTTACTACACTTCTTGTTCTTATTTTAAATATGAAAAAAGTTAGTAACTATCAGACTCACTTAATTTTTTAAACTAAGCGATTATCACTTGTTTTTCATCTATACTTTTTTCCACGACCTTCGCTAGTCGGGAAAGTGGCCAGTGCAACATCCTTCGCAGCTTGCAACCTCTTTCGTGTCACTCAGGAGGTTAAATGTTGATTATTAAAAAAAATTATCGTATTTTACTTAAAAAAAAAATAGTATCCTTTGGCATAGGTTTAAAACGTGATCTGATTTCATTTTTTTCTCAGTTGAAAATGCAACACATTACGAAATTACCGTATGGCGAATGTCAACCAGTAATGCATCTCTGATACTGAATCATAAAAGTGCAATGGGATTTGGCGCACAAGCTCTTATTCGGAATGCTGATGAAGGGTGGCGTGTTGGTGGCCAACTTGGGACTCTTAATGAAGGTGACGAGGCGGGTACGGCCGCGTGTAATCGATATGGTTGTTCGGAAATATTATTATTAAGACCTACTGAGAAGTTATTAAACGCCGCGAAACTACCTTGGTGGTATTGTAAGTTTTATTAACCTTTACTTTCATGCAAGTGCTGAGTTTTGTTCCTTTTTATTTTGAAATTAAATTAAACTATGACTGGAGACAAAATAGAATTTATCTAAATTAATTTTATGCAATTTCTTTGTTGATATTAATGGATTGACGCTTAAATCTAATACAAGTTGTATTCTCCCTCTCTTCCACTCATTCTATGTTGTATCTTTCTTCTCTCTTGTGTAACGAAATGAGCATAAACGTGACGCGTCATTGAACTTTGAATGCTCGACTGAATCGATAAATTCATTTTAATGATTGTCTCTTATATTACAGTTTTCTTAGATAAAGACGTGGGTATGATAGTTGGCGGTGTCCTGCTGGTGGTAGTGTTCGTTATATCAACTGCTATAGCAGTTTGTGCAGCGAGGAGATCCCGTGTGAAGCAGCCTGCACCTGTCATACAAGTCGTGGGGATTGATGATTTCACGCGAGAATTTCTGAACAGTACCAGAGGTAATATTAAAAAAAATCTTACATAACGTAATTGGAGCATTACTGAATCATGTTTCGTAGAATGTATAAATATATTTTGGACGTTTCCGTGGTTGAATATTTCTTAAAGGTGAAAATTTATGAGTTTAGCTATTGCCCGCGAGTTCGTCCATGAGTTCTTCCAAACTATGTTCTACATCTGTGCCAAATTTCATCAAGACCCGTTGAGGCGTTCTAGAGATTCGTACCAACACACATCCATCCATCTAAACTTTCGCGTTTATAATATTAGTAAGATTTAATATGTGTTTCAGTGCCTATTTCCCTTTCTGTTTAGGACAACTTATGGGTCTGTTTTAATCTTTGACAGATTTGAAGGCGCGCTCATCTTATAGCCTGCCGTCCCGTAACAGCAACTACTTTGATACAGAAGAGGTTGGCTTGACACAGTGGCGCCACCTGCCTCTCATACATGATCCACCACCACCTGACGTCACACTCACCAGGCATAGAGAAAGTGCTGTTTAGTAAAAACGACTTAACATAGAATAAAGTATTAATAAGATTAAATAAATGCTGTACTTTACTATGGTGTTTATTTTTAAAAACAAAGAATCAGTTGACTCTGCGTAGTCAGTTTTATGTAGGTGATGAAGTTGTTTGAGTAAAATATAAGGTTCCTATCCGTAAAAATATTTCTGAAATACTGTTTTCCACGACTTTTTTAAAAGATTCTAATATTGAAATAAAATTGTTAGGTTACTTAACAGCAATAGCTAGTTATTCTTATAGCAATGACGTTGTAATATATGCAAAGTCAAAATGTTAAGTGGGTTCGTGTCGCCTCCCGTTGTGAGGCATTTTCGCTTTCACCGCCGATCTATTATGTCTGAGCAATTTTGAATATTGTTAGGTAACTGCCATCTTTTGGACATTTAAAAACGCTTAAGGCCTATTTAACTTCGTTATCTCCAATGACGAACTTAGTCCCGAATTTCGCGGTTAATGAAGGTAGCTTGGCGCATTTTTATTCTCCCCGCATAAGCGGGTAGTTAGAAATCCCTCACCACTACAGTCAGGCGCGGGGCCTGCGGGGGCTTACGCATACGGATATCAGCATACGGAGCGACGTTCGTGTCGGTTTTCTAGCGTAGACGGTCGCTAAGTTTACGGTTCCGCGCTCGCTCCGATAAAGACGCGTCTATAGCGCGCTCACGGGAATTAGTGCATAGGGCGCATCAGGAGTGTTGTATTGCACCTTTGTAATATTTGACAGTGAGCAACTGCAGGCGATGAACGGGACATCGAGTTGGTAAGTGATACTTTATCTACGTACTATATTTCACCAAATTTTTCAACGCGTAATCTCAGGGTGATTGTGCTTCAGGACTGAAACCCATCATGTATGGTACATCTATAAATTGGGACATCTTTTGATGATTCTATTATGCAATATTCATAATTAAATTTGACTTTTTTACGGGATATTGTGAGATTGTAAATAAGACGTTCAGGATGGTCTATTCACATTTTTTTACAAATATTATAAATTCCAGCGATCATGACTAGTGGCTCTTGACCTCTGATATAATGATGATATTCGTCTGTCGCTAGCTAAGGTCAACAAGAATTTTGATTGTTGATTTTTACGTTTTTGATTCCTATTGTATATTTGACATGTGTCTATTAGATACTTAACAAGTTTAATGTAGAGTTGTTACATTAAGTTAAAAATCTTTATCTCTTTTCGAACGATTCTTCTTTAGGATGTTTTGTTTGTTTTTTATTGAATTTTTATACACTTAGTGACCTCAATATTCACACTTTGATTATGAAACTATTCAATTGATTTATTCCGGTCATGACTGTACTAATGATTTGACTAAATCGTTTAATAAAGCATGATTTAACACGTGTTATTTTGAATGATATATAATTCGATTTTAATTTGAAGTAATCTGTTATTTGGTCAACATGAAGAATGTTTTGCGACAGCTCAATAAAACATAAGTCAAGGTCTAAGTATTTGATAGGGCACATGTTTGTATTGCAACATATAAATTGTTCTTTGTAACATAATTTACAACTCGAACTAGCGTTACAAGGCGTTCGGGTAAAGCCGGACATCGGTAGGCTTGTCGACCAAAATAAACGGTGTCCGAGTTGACCGGCTTTTGTAAGGCTTTTTGCCTTCGGAGTGGCCGAGTGCAGACGACGAGAGTCGACTGACAGTCGCATGTAGGGTGTTCGGCTTTTCTACCTAAATGTCCGGCCATCTGGCTGGCATGTCCGGTTATAAGGTTTGACGACCTGGCAACCCTAAGTCCAACTCATAGTTCCAATAACACAACTCATATTGTGGATTTAGAATAAGAAATACCTTAGAGATGTGTAAAAAATCATTGACAGATCATTCTAAATTAAAAACCAGTTAGTGGTATGCATATTCATTGCTGTGACACGATTGTCCCAGTCGATGTTTTGTTTAGATAACGAAGGCAATGGACCGTGTGTCATTAATACATAAAAAAATAATTGAAGTCAGCGGCGGAAAAAACAAGATATGTTTTTGTGTCCTCTAGGTTTTTTTTAGTTTCATTAGTTCAAGAAGAAGGTTTTAAGAAGTAAGTTAAGACTATACTAATCTATACTAATATCTTAAAGTGGAAGAGTTTGTTTGTTTAAACGCGCTTATCTCAGGAAATACTCTTCCGATTTGAGAAATTGTTTTTTGTTGGATAGTCCATTTATAAAGGAAGGCTTTAGTCTACATAACATTACGGTGCGAACAATAGTTTTTTTTTTTAATTTCGCACGGACGGAATCACGTGCGACAGCTAGTAATAATATAAAATAATGTAAGAACTAAAGAAGTAAGCGTGAATTTCTACTACCAAAACAATCTTATTCAAATAAATTGTCTCAGTGTTTTTCAAGAAGTAGGAAAGGGATATATGTTTTTTGTATATTCGGCAGTGAAAACCCACGGTAACACATCTGTTATTCGGCATACGTCCAACGAAAAGTAATTTATATTGATAGTATCTTACGAGGTAATTACGAAGTATAAGATTCTATTCACAACAAAACTAGCAGTGCGTTTCTTAATGCGGCAAACCCCTCATATAATAAAATTCAAACTTTATAGAGGCTTGGGAATACCAGTGAGCGCATGTCTATGCAGATAGCTCGTGTGAACGAGTGTACTTTTTTTTAATATTATATACGAGCGAGCGGCGACCTGAAATCGCTGAAATAGCGAAGTGACCGTTGCCCATAGACATACGCAATTGCTTATGCTTTGCCTACCTTTAATGAACGGAGGAGAGGAGGCACAGAAAGAAAAATATTTTTCCTTTCCATGCATCCTCTCATCCGCAAAGTCCACTTCCACTTCCCATCCCTTCCTTACAAGAAAAACGGTGGGAAGAAATAGAGGACTAAATTAGGCCTCCGGGACGAGAAGGTCATTTTCGTCGCACCACACTTACGCTGTTGTGGATAGGCCTTAATTGTTACGCCTAGAGCGATGCGTTAACAACGAAACATTAACTGCTTATTATAGTTAAAAGAAATGAAAGAGATACAAGGTATTGAAAGTAAGATAATAAGCATTCATTCATACGAAACCAGTTTTAATGGTAGTAGGTGATAAAAAGTTCAACGGTTCATTTGTATCTGATCACTAGCTGTCGCCCGCGATTCCGGCGACGCGTAATATAAAAAAAAGTTAATAAGAAGCGTATGTGTTCTTCCAGCCAATATTCTAAATGTGTGAAAAATGTCATTCAAATCCGTCCAGCCGTTCCGGAGGTACCTACAATCATGTATCCATCCATTTGTACTTTTATATATATATAAAAGAAAGTCGTGTTAGTTACACTATTTATAACTCAAGAACAGCTATACCGATATGGCTAAAAATTGGTGAGGAGGTAGCTAAGATCCAGGGAGACGGACATAGGATACTATTATATTTATTAATTTTTTTTTCGAATTTATACCTTGAAGAGCTGCTTTTTATTTAACTTACTAATATTATAAACGCGAATGTTTAGATGGATGTGATGTGGATGGATGGATGGGTGGGCTATATTGATTAAGTTTATATATCCACGCGGACGGAGTCGCGGGCGACAGCTAGTTTACAAGATTGATATATACGTAAAAATGTTCAGTTGCAGATGCTACTTGCATGACGTAAGTAAATAATATTTTACATAACTGAGTATATAATATACATGAACAATGGCTTTTCATCATTAAGAATCAATTTATATTCTCTCTGAAGATGGGAACTTATTAAAGTACATGTTCGCAGGTGGTCTCATTACCTGCATTATTTTTTGCAATATCTTTTAATTAAATCTGGTCAATCAAAAAATTGAATCGGAAATTGTTAGTCATTAAAGGTGTTCTTAGTCATGAGGTCGTCAAATGTTTTTTATTTTTGAGGTTATAATGTGTTTAAGACAATACAAAAAATCAAAAATATGTACATGTTTGAGTTTATATGAAGCTAAGCTACTTGCATTTTGTAACTTAAGCACACTATAGACGTTCAGATGAAATGTTAAGTTTAAACTATGCATGTGTAAGCTAAACTGTTTAGGTCCACCGACGTCTGTAGCAGGCATTAGGATGTTCTGCTTGTTTGTTAGCTATTACTGCGATATAAAGTCAACGTTTATTACTAAAGGAACAACTGAGCAGCGTGATTATAACAAGTTGTGAGTGGAAATTCCAATGGATCTTTTACATTCATGGAATTTTATTAATAACTTGGTGTTGGTAACCGGTATCGCCGTGTTGATTCAATGTTGTAGAATAATAATGCAAATATTAATAAAAATATATATTGCACTCGTTTAAAAATACCTCATATTACTTAATCTTACTAATTTACATGGATGGATGGAGGGATGGATGTTTGTTTAAAGATAACTCTAGAACAGCTGAACAGATCGCGATGAAATTTGGCATGCATATAAAACATAGTCTGGATGAACACATAGGCTACTAATTATGTTTTTTTTTAATTCAGCGCGTACAGAGTCGCAGGCGATAGCTAGTACATATATAATGATTCTTCTTGAGTCAAAAAAAATTTCTAGTCATGTCTCTACGTAAGCAAGTCATTAACAGTAAAACTAGGTAAATGTGGCACAAATGTTCTGAAGTCTTCGATACTGCAGCAGAAGCTGTAACCTCTGTCAACACGGTCTGGTTGCCAGCTGAGCCAGCTGAAGGAGGAATTGCTACGACAATGGTCATTACAGAACTGAAGAGTACGAGCCTCTTCCAAAGTGATGTAAGGATTGTTGATACCGACGAACGCTGTACCAAGACGTTTTGCTTGATCGTAGACCACCTGCATAAAAAAAACTCGATGTACTAATTTTTAATACTGGTGATCAGGAAAGATATTTATTTAATGAATAAAATAGGGATAAACAACAGTGATGACCAGTTTATTACAATTCTGTTGACTAATCTTGACAATAATTTGCGTAATTCAAGAAGACCAAAATTAAAAATGCTTTTAAAAAGAAATACACAGTAAAAGTTATTGAATAAATATTTTATTATATAACTTACCTTATAATAGTACAAAGGTACCGGCAATTGAGTATTGTTATTGCTATCTCGGTGTAGATAGATATCGACGAGTTGATTATTGGAGTCTCTCAATTGAAATATTCCATAAGTACCTGTGTATACTACAGTATTGTAACCAGCTGCACCGATACGTATACGAAGATTCTGTAATTAGTCAAATGAATAATCTAACACTCTTCCTAAAATTATAGTAAACACTCACAGAAAACTATATTAAGCACTGATGTCTTAATTGATACAAGTCACAAAAGATTGGGTGTTTTTCCATAATTTTTCTGTATAAATAAATTTTAAATTGCTGTTAACTAGTCTCGCTAAAACTCGAGAACTGCTGAACGGATTTATCTTATCTTGGTCTTGACATGTTCGTGGAGGTCTAGGGAAGGTATAAAACGTGATAAAAATTCGATTAACTGGTGGGTAAGCCTTTTTCTTTTTCCCATATAAAAGGCTGAATGGATATCGCTGAAACTTGGCATAGATGTAGAACATAGTCTCGAAGAACACATAGGATAACAATTGTGTTTTTTTAATTTCACGGGGAAGGAGTCGCGGGCGACAGCTAGTCAGTAATAAAGGGTCAAGTATGCACACAACAAAGTCATGCTGTGTGTAATGTTTAGTCTTTTAGAGGCGATTTAAACCACCAATAGACTTTTAGAGATCTCTACTAGAAATACGTTTCACAGCACTCACTTGTTCTAGTAAATTCCAATTCCCACCATTAAATTGTTGCCATTGAGGAGCACAATTTATAAAATAGAACGTCGCACGTTGTCCTGTTGCGTATATAAAATCAGTTTTAGCAGCAAGATGACCACGAGCTAAATATTGCGTGCTTGTGACATATTTCTCAGCTAAATCAGTTCCAACATAATTTGATAATGTTACTTTCTGTTGTGCTACAGTGTAACGATTATTGACATCAACGCCAGGATAGAATGTGCCGGCTGAAATAATAATCTTCATTATATAAATATCGTCCACGGAGGTGGAAAATAAATTAGTGCCAATTTGACCAAATTGCCCTCTATTGTTTTCTTATCGATAAAAAATATATTCTGGTCGAAAACACCTTGACCACTTAAACCGCTTCAGAAATATGAACATTTTTGTGTTCCTGGTGGAAAAATAAATACTTCTAAACTAAGACTATAGAGTAGAGGGAAAGTATTTGAACAGTTCATTGGAAATCTGACTCGTGAACTAAATTGATGATTCGAAAGACGATATCATCGGTGGATTAGCTTCGAAATTCGATAATTAGTTTTTTAAAATTATAAGAACGCAAATGAGTTTTTTGTTACAGCGACCACTGCATTCTATCATTTTTGAAGACTATCTATCGTCATATACGATACTAAATTTCTAATTACTAAAAAAAAAATCTCGTACCCCTCCAGCTTGGTCTACTCACGCCAACCTGATTGACAGCATTCGGGGGATTCTGTTCATACCACACGTATAGAACCTCCAAGCGATTCTGATCGAAGCATGACCAGTATAGCGGGTAAAAGACATTGTTTACAGTGAAACCCACACTGCAAATATGTATTTTTAAGACTTGGATGGTTAGAAAAAGTGCATTCGCTCCGAAGCGATCCTATAACGAAGTTAAAGAATGTATAGAACTGACAATAACTTTTGATATGTCACGTGATTATCGCGCGTCAGTTCCATACATTTTTGAAGTTCGCTATCGAATTGCTTTGGAGCGAATGCACTTTGTCTAAACCCTGGTTGGTCAAAAGCTTCTAAATTTCAATTACCAACTTCCAAAGCCATTTCGTAATGAAATTAAACGCTTGATCACAATTTTTATCTGAGGCAATAAATCAAGAAAAATTAAACGTCATAATTGAATAGAATTAGAGATATATGCATAACTTATTTCAATTTCAAGTATAAGAAACTCTTGTACACATTACTTACCGAATAACCACATTATTGTTATAACATCTTTCAGATGTTAATAAAGCTTCGTGTGTACAATGGGAGGAACAAGTGAGATCACCAAAAGCACCAACTCCATCTATCCAACCCTTACCAGAGAAGAGGGTATTGTTCACACATGTTGCAATCTGTGGCAAATATTAAAGCAATCGTGGAAAAATGCTTCACCAGATATCTAATGATAAATGGAAATAAATCAAATAAGAATTTCGACTAGAATATGCAACATTCGACGCAGTATTATGGTAACTTGACAAAGCTCTGTAGATTATAACCATTGGGTGAAAAACTAATCTTGTACCGCAATACGGTTATACGTTAACTCGTTTATCTTACTTATACGAATGTTCTGATGGATGGATTTGTAAGAAGGTTTCTTTTTATATCATAAGGTGGCAAACAAGCCAGCGGCCATCTCGCTGAAATAGCGAAGTGACCGTTGCCCATAGGCATACGCAATTACATATGCGTTGCCTACCTTTAATCGACGGAGGAGAGGATGCACAGAAAGAAAATATTTTCCCTTTTCATGCATCCTCTCATTATGAAAGTCCACTTCCTCTTCTCATCCTTTTCTTATAAGAAAAAGGGTGGGAAGGGAAAGAGGACTAAATAAGGCCTCCGGGACGCACACTCATCAGACGAAACGCGGAATTGCTTCCACCTGACGCCTGTCTCCTGTGTGGTCGTGGTATTTCACCGGGCAAGCCGGGCCAATTCGTGCGAAGATGTTAAAGCGGGCTCTACTACTATTGTTAGGTATCTCCAGAACGGCTGCATGTCGCTGAAATTTGTCATAGATGTAGAACATAGTCTGGAAAAACACATAGGCTGTTAAATAAGTTGTTTTATTCCGCAAGAACGTCACGGGCGATAGTAATACTTACGCCAATGTTTGTAGAGCTGGTAACACTGGGATGTACAATATTTTGTCCGGATCCAACACAAGCGATGGTAACCTCCTCTCCTGTTCTGAGATGAATTTCTCCAGTATTACCAGTCGGTGTTAGATAATTGTTGTCGTGAATGTACACCGGTTGCGGTTGCCCGAGGTCGCCATTTACTTGTATTGTGCAACCTAAATTACAATTTAAAAGTTCAAATGAAATGACATATTACAAATCACATCTATGCCCTTTACTTTAAGGCAAATAAAATAGAGGAAATTATAAATTAAGTCGAAAGAAATATCTGGCCAGAAGAAAGCTTTAAAAAGCGTGAAAAATATATTTACAATTTTATATTTCGAAAATTAAAATGATAAAGCGAAAATCGAGTTTGAAATATAAGAGCTTAGTCCAATAGTTGAACCTTAAGCAATTTATAAAGTCAAAGATCTAAAATAGCCAAAATAATTAGCATATTAAAGGAACGACTAAGACTTACCAGCATTTCTTGAATTTATATGTGTAATGTTTTGATATTTGAGCTTCAACCAGAGATCCAGATAGTCTTCAAATTCATCTTCATTTAAATATATATTCAAGTCATTTGGATTGGGTATATTTATTGGTGAAGATACCACAACAACTGCAAATACAAGTACTAAAAAAGTACGCATTTTATTCTCTAAGCTTGTACCTTTTGTTAGTAACTGTTGTACCCAAGCATGGCCTAGTTATAATTCTTTACAATTTATACGCACGCGTATCTCATTCGATGAAAATGATGTTATCAAAGATATAAAAATGATAAGGGAGTCAACAATCGCAAATGGAAATTCTAGTTTCGATCAAGATTAGATTTTGTAATAAAAGATTCGTCATTTCTCGTTCAGGTGAAATAAGGAAATAGATAAGAAAAAAGTTATTAAGCTTATTACTAACTCACATTTGTAATTTTTATCGTGAATTTTAAACATGTAGGCTGGTTAGATTATTCATTCTAGGGTACAATCATTCATATAGAGCTTAAAAATTGGTAGAATTGTTTGGAACACCATTGTACAAAAACGTTTACACCCACTTTAGATCTTTATAAGATCAGTTAAGTAAAATTGTTGCTTAGTAAATAGCTTTCTAGTTACAGAAAAATCTGTGCAAAATTTTAAGTCTCTGTGTCCAGTTGTTTGGACTGTGCTTTAATTGTTCCAATATACTAGCTGTTACCTGCGACTTTGTCCGAGTGGAATTAAAAAAAAAAGTAGCCTTCGTGTTCTTCCAGACTGTTCTACATCTATGCCAAATTTCAGCGAGATCCATGCTGCCGTTCTGGAGATACCTTTTAAATCCATCCATATAATAAATAAGAATAAATTATTAATAATAAAAGTATTTTATAACTTAATGTAATATAAAAAGTAACTTTCTTTAAGATTATAAAATGCCTGTCATCAGAATTGAATAAAATATTTAACTTTAATTCAATTAGTAACGGGCGCCCGCTTGTACACCACCCGTTGAGACCGAGTTTTGGAAGCTGTGCTCCTGAAGTTATTTATTTATGCATTTGTTTAATACACAAGTATACTATGAATAATATCAAAGTTCAATGACCTTTTTGTTTCATAAAATCTGATAGGTATACAGTCGAATCTGGATAAGTGTAATTACAAGAGCCGCACTTTTTTCGCTAATAGAGATTCCTTACCAACGACTAAGATTCTTAAAGAATACTCTTGAAATTTGTACTAATAACATTAATCCCTTGTCTATTTTTAGCCAGATAAGAGAAAGAAAGTATATTATATGGGTCATTGACCTCATCGTACTTTACCTTTGATTTTTAACCTTATCTTTAACACAAAAAGAACACGAGTAATATTTAAAAAACGTTATTAACGGTTCTGAGTTCTGTAAACTACGAGTTAAGCTCCAGTTAAACGAGCCAATCCATCAGGCGGCGAGATGCATCACAGAATCAAAAATTAATCAGTTACGTTTGGAATAAAATATACCGCCATTGATGTTATCTTAGAATCTATAAAAACGCACCTTGTGAGGGCCACTACAAAATAAATGTTGGTACTAGATGCACATCGCATCGATGTTTTTGTAACAATGCTTATAAATTTACTGTCGCCCGCGACTCCGTCCGTACGGATTTAAAAGTAAACACTTCATGCCTATATGTACGTTCTTCCAGACTATGTTCTACATCTGTGCCAAATTTCATCAAGAGCCGTTCCGGAGATACCTTCAAACAAACATCCATCCATCTAAACATTCGCATTTATAATATTAGTAAGAATTACTTCTTATTTACTTCCTACTATTACGGGGAGGCTAAAAGCAGTACTTACAGTGAAAGTAACATCGTGCTGCAACCTGCACATATAAGAAGAAATTCAAAGATAAGTGTGAAGTAAACCCGCACCGAGCCAGCGTGGGTTTAGGGTAGGCTCCGAGCCCCTTGGTAAAGTCGCATAGTGAGCTAATGATAAAAACAGGTGATGATAAATTCAGTGATCAGAAGGTAGCATCAGCTGAGCCGCTTCCCAGTAACCAAGATTTTTTTTCTCTCTTTTATTGATACCTTTCGTAAATGTTATTTCTTTCGTTTTTGATTAATAAACTGTATGTTATTTAATTTTTTACATAAATTTAAGATATTAAATCAATACATTTAATCGTTAGATATGTTGGGAAGTGGATAGTGTTATCTGAAACATAATATGATGTTATCTTCCACTAAGGGCGGTATATTGATACCAATTTATACTATCTAATGATTGTAATTAGTATTTAATATGTTTAGTACTATTTCACAACCTCCTAGTAGTTTAAATTTTCTTAGAAACAAAGCAAAGTAAGCTTAGAAACCGTAATAGTTACTTTATTTTATCATCATCAGGTCACTATACGTCCCCACCGAGGGGCTCGGTGGGGACGTATAGTCCTAAATCAAGGGTGACTAGGCCATAGTCAACCACGCTGGCCAAGTGCGGATTGGTAGACTTCAGACATATATTTGTATTTCTTTTTCAGATATGTGCAGGTTGCATCACGATGTTTTCCTTCACCGTAAGAATGTCGTATAAACACATTGGTACATGGCGGGATTCGAATCCAGGACCTGCAGATTGCAAGTCAAGCGCTTGGCTCCTGAGCCACTGACGTTCTTATTTTATTTAAGTATTCAATAATGACTGAACCGTAATTTCAGTTTGAGGAATACAAATGGAATATTATCTCAGTGTTCAAAATAAATAAAGCCGTACATACATACATATAAATACGAGTCGAAAACCTTAATATTTACTAATATTATAAATGAGAATGTTTGAATGTACGGATGAGTGGATGGATGTATGTTAAAAGGTATCTCCAGCAAGGCGGCAAGGACATAGTCTGGAAGAACACATGGGCTTTGATTCAGTTTTTTTTTATTCTGCGCGCACGCCGTCGCGGGCGACAGCTAGTATGTCATAGAAGCAAATACAAAAGTAAACTACTTTGTTAATTAATCTAATTCACTTTTACATTCTAATTGGCTTTATTTCCTCAATAAATCTATAGATCAGGTTCCGATATATCAAAGTTTCTGATTGCATTTGTTACGACGTTTACACCTCTTTTATAGTAGTAGTTGTCAAATTATTTTATTGTCCATAGATTTGTTTGTTCGTAGCTTATCTAATTAGTTTTTTTTTTAAATATTCGAACTAATTAGTTCTTAAATGAATATAACAGTTAAAACTTCATACATAATTTATCAGAAATCAATAGTTTCTTTAATTCATGAATAGATGTGAACGTAATTTTATGGACCGCAATAAATCTAAGAGATTAAGTTTAAAAGCTTCGATACGTTTATAGGTTTAGGTATGAACATTTTATTACTGAAAATTATCCGGTTTTTTCCCACCAGGCAACCTAAAAGTAGTTAATATTTAAGTTAATAAAATTACTGTTAATTTAAAAGAGAGTACTCGAGAAACGGTGCGTCGATGGCTCAGTGGTCAAGCACCTGACTTGCAATCTGCAGGTCCTGGATTCGAATCCCGCTATGTACCAATGTGTTTTTCGATTTCCGATTTACATATGTACATTTATCCGGCGTTCTTACGGTGAAGGAAAATATCGTGACGCAACCTGCACATATCTGAAAAGAAATTCAAAGATATGTGTGAAGTCAACCAACCCGCACTTGGCCAGCGGAGTTGGGAGGGGACGCAAAGGAAGGTTAAGTATTCTCTTTCTGTGTCTCTATGAGCAGCGGTCGATTATACCCTTAAAAAATATCAAAAACATTACAATAAATTTTCATCAAGATGGTCTATTGTTTTCAATTTGTTTTTAATACGTTATATCATTAAACTAAATTAATGATGTCTCTAGATACCTCATAAACAACCTTAAAGGGGTAATTAATAATAATAGGCCGTGAATTTAGTAAAGTTAATGAACTTCAAAATCTATCTTCGTTCCCCTTTGTGTCGCATTTTTAATTAGTTTCGACAAGCGGTGACAGATGGCGCGCGCGTTGCGGTATTTGGGTTAACTATCAATTACCTGGTCGTCAAAGTGGCTTTGAAAATAGACCTTGTAAATGGAAATATATATTTTAAAAATATAGCATAACAATGAGAGTTTGGACTGCAGTAAAAATTGTATTGACACGTTTTTTTTTATCATAAGGTGGCAAACGAGCGAGCGGCCTCCTGAAATCGCTGAAATAGCGAAGCGATACTGCCGATACTGCCCATAGACATACGCAACCGCATTTGCGTTGCCTACCCTTAATTACTGGAGGAGAGGATGCACAGAAAAAAAATATTTTCCCTTCCTATGCATCCACTCATCCGGAAAGTCCACTACCACTTCCTATCCTTTCCTTATAATAAAAAGGGTGGGAAGGGAAAGAGGACCAGAGTTGTGTCGGTTTTGTTAGAAATAATGTTAGGGATTTGATTGTAGCGTGTTACCATCCTTACATTAGCTAAGTAAAAAGAGAGACGAGAATATATTTTTTTTAAATAACTGTCATTGCAGTTGAAACCCACAGTAGTAAAAATATATCTTAAGTACGTGTAAGATGATTATTAACAATAATTTTCTTATTTCAAAGTAATTAGTATACTAAAGTTTAAATCGCAAAACAAAAAAATAAATAAAGGTTATTTAATTGAATATAAATTATAAAATTATAATTTAACATTTCTTTAAAACATGGAATTGTTGGTGCATTATACGAAACTAAAGAGACAATATTTGTCTCTTTCTAACAATTACAAAAATTACTTCCGTCGTCCGTATCCCGCATTTTTATTATCATTGAATTCCATTGTTATTCTATGAACTGAATTAACGATACTGCCAATGTCCTTACAATCATTTAGTTCGTGCTGTGAAGATAATATTTATAACGTCATTAATTAACTGCACCCAAGTGAATTGGGGACGCTATATCATTATGACGTGATAAAATACAACAGATCACTACAGTGCTACGTAGCCAACAATAACACGTAAATACTCCGCCCAGGAATCCCTCCACGCGGAATTAAAAAAAAAATAAGTAGCCCATCTGTTCTTTTAGACTATGTTCTACATCTATGCGAAATTTCAGAGAGATCCGTACAGCTGTTCTGTAGATACCTTTAAACAAACATACATCTATCAATCTATACATCTAAACATTCGCATT